GTACATTCAAAGATAAGCTTCTATCAACTTCCTATAAAGTTAAAAATATTGATTGTTGATGAGTTGTAACAGGCATATGTAACCTTACCATAAAATTGCCTACAAATGGCCTCCTATCTCGTAACATTATTTGTCTCTTTGGATAATGATATGTATATGTATATGTAAGTGAAATGGTTACTTACCGGTTCATCTGTTCAACTTCCGACCATGAAGTATGTTTTCAACTCGAACATTTAAAATGTAGCACACCATTAGTGAAATACTTGATCAATGAGTTGATTTATTTTATAATAATTATTGATTCATTGTTATGCTCACATTATAGTGTATTCTGGTAATTAGAGCATATTAACTTAAAAGAGTTTTAAGTTACGATAAGAAACAATGGTCAATAAAGGTAATAGAAGGGTTCTGTTTGGTAACACCGTCTGTAGCGCGTACCAAACTTTTGGGCCCACAGGGCTTGTCCCAGCCTTCCGACAAACCAATTAATCTTTTCCTAACTGAGGCACTGTTTCAATACTGTCATTGATTCACTCATCTTGCCTGGTTGTTTTTGCTTGAGTGTATGTGTGAATGGCTTACTTTGCTTATTCATATGACTGGCTTAATTTCATCTGACTAGAAATGTTTAGTTATGCCTCACTACTGTTGTAGTGAAGGAGAACACAGGTGGGGCAACCGAATTGTATTTAACGAAAATTACAGAGTTACTCAGTAAAATCGGAAAACCATATCGTAAATCGTTAATTTGCAAAATATCAGTTCATCATATCGAACTGGACGACTGTTCCTGTTGCAAAATATCAACAATCGATTGTCACTACTATTCATGCTATTTCATACAAATTCCATTGTGTTCTTCTAACTCTTTTGTTTTCTTGATCTTCTCCCATCTTCTGCTGCCAGACATTATGTTGACACTCACGTCATATACTACTTATAAGTAGCTCACACCACATTGTGAGTTGGTTCACTCACCTTCTCTATTTCGTTTCGCCTTACTCGCACGCTTTTCATTCTCATGTCTGTCTACTTAAATGGATGCTTGATATAAACTCATCCGACTGAATCTATATATTTGGCTTTTAATTATCACCGTCACACAAACGGGGTTCATCTAAGTACCATATGTGGAAACTGAACAGTAGATATCAGAGTCAGCTCACGGAGCATTAAAGTAGTGAGTGAGCTTGAAAACAAACATAACGCAGCCTGATGAACATCATTATGAATAGACAGTTGTTGTATGAGAAGGAGCTATTGGACAAATAAGCGTTAAAATCTCCAGGTCTTTTGTTCATGATTAAAGAATGATCGTTTACCAAAAATGCTATTGATCTTGGTATCATAAGACAAATCAGTCAATAGGCAAACTCGATAGTAAACTACTCTCTTTTGTTCGGACGACCCAATCATTAGGGGATATAACAGGAAAAATATATTCATGAAAATATAATAAAAAATAATCTGAAAATTAAAATATGCTCACTAGTAACTAGCTTCGTGGAAAAATTCTTGGAGTGCTAGTGTAGGAAGACGTGACCAGTAGAGTGCAACTTTGTCGAGTTTAGGGATTAACTACTGAAGAAGACATTGGGTGAGGTTACTAAAAATCTTTAGATTGATTTGAGTTAGATGTTAACACTGTTGCGTGCCGGCCCAGTGGTTCAGAGGTTAAACCTTTGCGCGTAAAATTAAATCCTGCGAGTAGCAGGATTCGTGTATGTGCACTGCCACTGATGAGTAGTCCCATATAAGGACGAAACAGCCGTCCAATGCTTCTAGGTTTTTACACATTTGAAATCATCAATCAATCTGATTGTTAGACCACCATTAGAAACCTGGAAGCACTGGACAATGGCCGTTTCGTCCTGGTATGGGACTACTCATCAGCAGCGCGCTTCTAGGTTTCTTCTGATGTTAGTCTAACAACGATCCTTTTTTTATGATTTTAATGTATAAAAACAATTATTATCATAATACTATGATATGAAATTAATTTCATCAGGGCATATGAAATAGTTTTTGTTTTGTCCTATACCTAAAATCCGAGTAAACAATCAATACCGCGATAGAATCGTTCAAATTCTTCGCGTAATTTACCTAACACAACCAACTAACCAACCAACTGAACAACCAAACAAACAAACTAGAATAAATTATTTTTAAAATAAATTATCATTTAAATAAAATTTAACAAATCTAATCAAAACTATCTGAATAAACAAAAACACATTTCTTGTCACTGCCTTTATTCAAATGGAATTTTAAATCATCATCGTCACCATCATCTGAATAATAAGCTGTTAAGAATAGGTCAGTTGGAAATTTAATTTTTACTTAATTTCAGTGAGATTTTGTTGGGGCTGATACATTTGAGTTTGGAAAAAATACGATTTTGACAATTTCGATATTTCACGAAATAAAAACGAATCAATGGATTATTTTACCTTAACTTTGATGATGCCTTGAAGGACATTGACACGTTTACATTATCTTGGCAACATCATCGACGAGAAAGGTGGATCCGATGCAGATGTGAGGGCGTGGATTGACAAAGCAAGGGCTGCATTTCTACAAGTGAACATCATCTGCAATTCAAAAAAACTGTCAACCAAAACCAAAATCAGAATTTTCAATACAAATGTCAAGACAGTTCTACTGTATGGAGCGGAAACTTGGAGAACTATGAAAGCCATCAGCCAGAAGATACAATTATTCGTTAACAGTTGTCTACACAAAACACTTCGGATTCGTTGGCCAGACACCATCAGTAACAACGTACTGTGGGAGAGAACAAACCAGATTCCAGTGGGGGAGGAAATCAGGAAGGAGTGGTGGAGTTGGTGGATAGGACACACACTACGAAAAACACCTAACTGTGTCACGAGACAAGCCCTCACATGGAACCCTCAAGGCAAAAGGAAAAGAGGAAGGCCAAAGAACACATTGCGCCGAGAAATAGAGAAAGATATGAGAGGAATGAACAAACATTGGATAGAACTGGAGAGGGAAGCCCAGGACAGAGTTGGTTGGAGGAAACTAGTGGGCGGCCTATGCTCCATTGTGGGTAACAGGCTTAAGTAAGTAAGTAAGTAACTTTGATGAACACAAACAAACTCTGCCTGGAGGAGCCGTTCTAAGACTATTGCCGATCCTGAGTCTGGATAAAAGAGAAAGGTTGGATTATGAGGATTAGCAATCTGATCGCGTAAAAAAATCCAACTTTCTGAAAAAGGACGCTAACCAGAAAAATCATTCACTGATTCGGCGGCATGTACTCCATCAGGTGTAAGAGAGGTATGTAAGTAAGTAAGCAAGTAAGAACACAAACAACGCTAGTGAGAAGAATAAGAATCTTCAAACAAACTATTACGAGATTTCCCAGGAGAAAATCTAAAATTTTTTAGTTTTTAATTAGTTGTTTGGTTTTTTTTGGAGAAAAAATGATTGTCCAACTGGAATTCATGATGCCTTGACAAAAAACTGTAGACAACAATCAACACAATCAGATTTATCATATTTTTTTCATTGGACATTGGCTTGTAGTAGAATTCAGGAGTTACATTTCATCGTGCATCTCAGTGATGAGGTTCGAAATACACAAGTTAGTTGCTATCTGCACTAAGTGTTGAATTAAGTAACGTGTCATCGTCAATAGTAATGGAATGGACTGGACTGGACTGGAGTGTCAGTGAATGAACATCAAGATTAACCTGCAGGTGCATTCAGCCCGCGTGTTCCGAATTCCACTCCCATTCATATTTCATAGACGTACTGAGTATACCTTTGACTAAACGGCAGTGTCGAGGTAATCTATTCCACACCTTACTAGGAACAATGAAAACAAGCACAACTCAGGTGGATGACTGTAATGATGTTCCGTCCTCTGAGCTAAATGTTTTGGTTGTGGAGCTTTCGTTGTTCTTTTGAACAACATCATCAGCACAAACTTCAGATAGCGGAAGTGAATCATTCGAATTTCTCAACGTTTGACCTGTAGCTTGTTCTGCCAACCTCGATCTTGATTGGTTGCTGTTGACCTTAAACCTGTCGTTGTTTGCAACTTTGTTTTGATTGCACCCCACTTTTGATCTGTTTCTTGATCCTATGTCACCTATGATTTTCCGGTTTGGTTGATAAATTGGGTCCATGTCGATGTGTTTGTTGATTGCTGATTGACCTGAGTTCCAAACTTCTAAAAATTCCCTACTGTTCTTTGTCCTTCCCCTACCTAGTATTTCCACATTGATCCAATCAAATGTGTGTCCACAATTGTCGGTATGTATTGATATAAGCTGAGCGTTGTCGTGGCGTTTGACTGCTAATTGGCGTTTACGTAAACGGAGCTGAAGAGGTCGTCCATTTTGTCGTATGTAGTGTTTTTCACAGTTTAAGCAATTTATTTTGTAGATGATATTTGGTTTTTCTACCTTTGTCATTTTGTCCTTTGGTCTACATACAGGATTGATTGAAGTGATTCTGTTGGTTTGTGTGCCACGCATATTCCAAATGGTTTCAGTGGTCGTGCTGTATGCTCCGATATGTCCTTGATGTATGGCGGGATGATCCGTTTATTGGTTCGTGTGCTTAATTTCGTTTATGATGATCATTTCGGTTGATGTTTTTTGATGAAGTTGCATGGATAGCCGTTCTTTTGAAAGATAGTCACAAGGTGCTTTTGCTCGTTTTTTAGTGCCTCCATATGTGCTGCAGTGTGTCTTCGCTCTCTTGAACAAAGTTTGTATGCAATTGATTTTGTAGGTTGATAAATTGGTTCAATGTTGATGTGTTTATTGATTGCCGACTGAACTGAATGCCAACCTTCCAAGATATTCTCTAGTGTTATTTATATTTCTCCTATCCTGTAATTCCACATTGTCCCAATCGAATGTATGTCCATGTCGTGGCGTTTGACTATTTAATATTAGGGAAATAAGCTTTATGATTAAGTGTCCTCTTTAATTCTTTTTTATTTCAAATATTTTTTCTAGACATTTGCTAATCGTATTTACGGTCCAGCATGGTGGATTATGCCAATATTTGTGGCTTTCTCAACATTTGGCGGTGTGAATGGTAATATGTTGACTACATCAAGAATATTTTTTGTTGCAAGTCGTGAATCTCATATGCCTAGATTTATATCATTCTTGCACAAAGACAAATTGACGCCCATACCAGCTGTTATTTTCACTGTAAGTGTAAATAGTGTGTGTGTGTGTTATTTAACTTTTGTTTAATTGAATGTGTTAGTGGGACACAGTATTAAAGTATTAAAGTATGACGACGTTGTCGCGCGCTGATTGGCTAATTTCCTAATCCAATCAGCGCCTGATCGAATCATGGAGAACAGGATAGAAAATTCTCGTGTTGTTAGCTGCATGCTGATTGGCTGAATTTTTTAGCACAGTCGATCACGTGAATTTCTATCCAGTAGCTTTTCATGCAACTAACGTTGTATTTATTTTTGGGGCCTTCGCCTTCGCCATCACCATCACCTTTGGCTTCTTATTTCCATTTAACCTTGCTATCTGGAATATAATCTTTTCTTGTTCAACCGTGTTTTTTTATTCTTTGGAACTTGTCCAGTGTATTGTGTGGTCAGAGAATACACTAAGCAATACGAATTAGTTGGGAATTATATTTTAGCAAGCGTTACAATAGAATGATATAATCATTGTTTTCTTTGGTAGAGTTTAATTCTCTGAACTAGATGTTGGACAGAAGAAGAATAGCAATCAAAGCTCCATAACCAAAACATCACCAGCTTGGAAAACGAGACTCCTTCCCAATTATGTTCACCATAGATAGGTTTAGAGTGAGGATTTTCCCACTCGTCCAGGTGGATTATCCGTACTCATTAATCCGGTTAAAGAGTTAGACATTCTTTTGAGTTAGAGCTTTGGAGATTTGTGTTTTTGGTAAACACATTTGAAATCATCAACCAATCTGATTGTTAGACCATCATTAGAAACATGGAAGCACTGGACAATGGCCGTTTCTTCCTGGTATGGAACTCATCAGTGGCAGTACGCATCCACGACTCCTGCACCTCGCAGGATTCGAACCCGGGACCTTCGGTATTAAGCGCGAATGCCTAACCATCGGACCACTGGCCCGGCAACCAGCGGTGCTAGTGTCTGACTCTGATTGATCGACAGACATTCGTTACTTTTTTTCCCCTCAATTTCGTAAACAACACGCCTTCCACGAGGTTGCTGTGAGTAGGACTTCTTCGACTGTCGATATACAGACAAGATCATTATGAGAGCATTTAAGGAGAGAGAGAGAGGAATATGGTAAATATATGTGATACAGGCAGACAGACAGATACAATGCAGAACTTCGTACATAAGTACATACTACATACTGCCATACTACGTCAGCACAGAGACGTAACTGTCAGTTCAAATCCAACAGTGATAGTGATAGTAGAAGTATTAGCAGTAATGGAGAAGATTAGGGAGCGACGATATGACTCGAAAAGTATAATTCAGTGAGATAAATTTAGAAAGAGAGAAAGATAGAGGTGATGAGGAATTTAGAAGGTAAGAATTTGCGAGAACACAAAGCGTGGATGCACCTGCGCCATTTCTGGCCGCCCCTAACTTTCTTCCAATCTACTCCTACACCACAAAACATAGCTCGACGAAGCAGTCGGTGGTTGCGCATTCGTAACACACGTCACAACCATCTCAGCTGATGAAGTTTCAATACTTCAACTATTGATCTGCCATCCTTACCTAGAACTCGTTTCGTAACGATAGCTTTGCTTACTCGATCGTCCCAGGATACACGACCAATGCTTTTGGATACACCTATTATCGAAGACTAGTGACCTACGAATGTCCTCTACTCTTAACGGCCATGTTTCGCATCCGTATAGTAGGACAGAGCGAACTGCTGCATAGTACACTCGTCCTTTAGTCAGCAAACGGATATCAGGCCTACGCCATAGGTTACGCAAGTTGACAAAATCCAATCAAGCCTTCTGTATTCGAGCTGAGGTTTCGTTAGTCACAGGGCTATCAGCACTG